GCTGGCGCACACGGCTTCATCTTTCTTCTCTTTCAAGTTTAAACTTACAGCAGAATAGTAGAAGATGGTCAAATCTAGACATGTTCCTGGTACGGATGGTGTCCAAGCTCTTTCGATGGGAGTGCATCTGAAGATGACGACGGCAGTCTCCTCAATTCCTTCTGCGAGCAGCAAAACGATGAGAAACTTGTTGATACGCTGGTAGACCTGATCGGGGAGCAGCCGAAGGTAAAGAACTGCGAAAGACATCTTTACTGTCACAAATGCCCAGATGTATGTGAGCTGTGTGACGACTTGGAACTGCAGATGGTTTGTCAGTGCGGTTTGATGAAAGTCTCTTTGGTGTTTTCTACCTTCAAAAATTCGGCAAAGTCTGACTTCGAAACGTCTTGAAAGTGAGAGCCCAAGCCCACGCCGGTCACTATTCGGGATTAGTTTGAAGTTCTTCTCGAGCTTCCAGAAATGGTGGCAGCTTACTGGCAAGAATTGCACTGCATAGTGCCATGGCGAGGACCTGTTCATGTTTAGCAAGAAACATTCTTCAAATTTCTATTGTGGCTTCATACCCAGCTAATGAGCACGAGTGCTAGAAACGGTCAGCATGAAAGTCGTGATAATTCATCAGTCGTTGATACTTACTGTCATCCCAGCCCAAGCTTCGAAGTAGGACACTTCGTACAAAGGTCCTCATCACGACTGTTAGCGTGATAAAAGTCATTAGCATGATGGTCACGCTCGCCGTTTGAGCGACCTTTGTGTCCGCCATTTTTGCCGATGGTTACATTCAAGTCGAGGGTGCCTCTCGATGGACCTCAAGGCAGCGGGGGGGGCGGAATAGATATTCACAGTCCGACATAGAGGACTGGAGTGACGGGTGACAGGATGGACCATGGCTGATAGGTGGTCCCCTACGTATGTATGTGCTTGACATAGCCCATCGAACTCTGATGCATTGGACACACACTACGAATGCGAACCCAATCCCGGTCCTTCCACTGCTGTCTGATCTCTTCAGCGATATCCCCAGACGACTTGGTCGAGATAGTCTGAAGAAAGAGACGGACTGGGCGTCCAGGACGGGCACCCGGGGTCATGCGTGTGCGGTAATGGGTGCGGATGGCCACCCGAACGGAGGCACGCTTCATTGTGAACCTCGTTCGATGCCAGCTGTCTGGGACGAGCATAGACTTTCCGCGGATGGACTGGTGAAGAAGTCTGCTTGCGAGCCCCTTGTTTGGAGGTTAAACTTCCAACAGCCAAGTTTCAAAGTTCAAGGGCTGGTTGATCGCCGCAAGGAAGGCCGTTCAGAACATCAGGCTCTGCTGCAAGATGGCCCATGGATCTGTGAGATCCAGTGGCGTGATTGGTAGGGCGAGACGCGAAGCCCAACGGCTTGAACCCGTCGATGGGTCGCCCTTGCGGCTATCCACAGGGGAATCCGGGGAAGGCGAATCGGGTCGCGGAGCCATGCTGCGTGGATTAGGTCATGCATACATATGTCCTTCCAAGGGCTGGCGAGCCGTGCTCTCTGCCCGTCAAGGCAATCCAGAAGAAATTCGAGAACATCCGTATGTGCCAGCCGAGAAGTGTACAGCCAATGACTCGTCCATATATCGGAAAAGGTGCGGCTAGCTGTCCATGTCCGAACCTGCCAGTCAGCTATAGCCTCAAACTTTACTAAGGACCTCAAATAGCCTGATGCTAGAGCAGTGCAATAGCCATGCTCGTGTGACCCAATAGTATACAACTTAATTAGCCGTGTAGCATTCGCAAAGTCGTATATTTGAGAGACTTGCCCAGGGAAGCTTGGCCTGGCGTGGCCGCTGTGGCCATGAGACGACAGAACACCGACCTCTTGGGAGCCTCTCTCTAAGCCGTGTTGGGAAATTCTAGCGGCGAGGCCATTGGTCGAGCCCCGTGTTGCTCCATGTTCGTTGTCTAAAACAACAGGAGAGCCACGAGCTGGCTATGACAAACTTGTCTGTGCGGGTTTCTATCCTCCGAATGACCCATTTACTAGTTATGACCAGAACAGACTAGTCAGGCAAACGATTCATCGTGAGAAGGTTGGTTTGTTTACGGAGGAAACGCTGCCTCAGTAGATTTTGGGTCCGCCTGGTTGAGGCACTTGCGCTCCCCGAGCCGCTATTTGATGTGCTCTTTGGGCAACTTGAGGCCGATCGGTGACTACCTGGCCGTGATACTACCAGACGTGTCGGTCTCCCTCCGTGAACAACACAAGCTTCGACGGCAAAACGACGGCAGAACGACGGAGAATCATGATTGGATTATTCTCCCGATGAACTGGACAACGGCATGTGGAAAAAGTGCGGTCTCCGCTAGAATCGCGGCGCGTCGTGTGCCAGAGGAATTTCGTGTGATGGGTTTCAGTATCCACGCCGCGGTGAATCCCGACAGCTCGGGGCAGTCCCGACGTTCAGTGCGAGTGGGCGGGAGCCGAGTAAGCGCCGTTGCGCCGGCATCGTCGTAATGGAACAATAGAAGCGATTCGAATACCCTCCCACAGGCCCGGAGGCAGGAAAGGGTATCGGTGTAACGACCACGACTTTGATGTCTGTGTTGTGTTCTTGTTGGGGCATGGTCAGTAGACGAGAACGAAGAGTGGTCTGAGAGACTCAGCTTCTTCGAGGCGGCATTACTGACTCACTGTTTATTTGTGGACGAAGCGAAACTCATCTCATGTTTCGAGACAAGAAACGTCACAGCTCATGAAGACGTTGCTGAAATCTCGTTTTGGCAGGACTAAACCAAGGGATCCAGGCGTCGAGGAAGCCATCATACGAGCCTTTTTTGTCACAGAGCCGCCGTTCAGGCGGAAAGGCCGTTTATCCTTTTAGTGACAAGGGGCCGCTTGTTTGCGAAGATGTGCGTTGCGAGTTTTCATCCAGCTATCGACAGTGGCGGCGAGCCAAGGCGCCGGGCCATCAGTTGCCTGTAGAGACGTCGGCCGGCGAGAAAGCAATCGAACTTGGAGGCTGAGAGATACGTATCCACGTGTTAAAGTCTGCGTCAAAAGTCAAAGTCATGATTGCCGAGTGGATGGGACAAACACGGCCACCAAATGCGATTGTCTGATGAGATGACGAGTCCCTCGACTCGAACTTAATTCCGCCTTGCCGGCGATATTTCTGCGCTGCCAAGTAATATAAGTAATCATCTACAGACAATCGGCACACCTATTTAGGTTGGCGGCAAGAGTGCGAAAGTTTGAGAAGATGCAAATAAGACTGACTTTGATCATCGAGAGGGAGTAGGGCTTCCTCTGCCGGTTGGCTATTTGTCTGCGGCTGAGGGACCCTGAAAAAGAAGGGTCTTCCAGTCGTTGGCCCTTCTTGTCTGTCGAGTATTACTGATTATAAAGACGGAGCAACGGGTGACGTTGGCCAGAACGGTCTAGAGAATATCGTCAGTGCCAACATAGTGGTTGCCAAGGCCGTCGGCGAGTGATATTGAGTTGCCGGCGGGACGAGACATAGACCTTTCCTACCTTTCCCTTTACATCAAAATTTGGCTAGTCATTCCTGCTGCTGGTAGACAAAGCGTCCTTGCCTCCATCCAAAGTACAGGAACGAGTCGATCGTGACACCCGAAGAGAGCTCCCAGCGTGGTGTTGTGGATGGGAAAGAGACGATCTCAGGATGGTGTTTTGAAGCTGTTCCAGAAGGAAAGAAGTTCGCGCCGGCCCCACCCACCGGTCCCTTCCTTCCCCAGAAATACCACCTGCCTCGGAGCCATTTCCGTCGATCTCCCTCTCCACCCACAGGGGTTCCTTCCGTCTTCCTGGAAAATTACCCGGTGAGGCACTTACACGACCACGTTTTGCTGCCACAACTGCATCGTCAAACCTCGCTTTGCCTTATCACAACCTCAATTGGCTTGACTTCACCCTCAAAATTTCCTAAGATCGATCCAAACACAAAAAAGATTGTATCCTTCCTCGGTAAGTAAACGAAATCCTCATGGAAGACTCCGCTGAATGCACTCTCTCTATGCGGGTAGACGCTGATTTCTTTGCTCGGTCTTGCAGCAGTTTCCTTTGGCAACCAGAATTCCTACGAAAACCACCTCACACGCAAAAGACACCTAGCTACGCACACTTGCACCGACAACAATGAAGCCTACACTCTGCATCACAGCCTTTGCTGGCATGGTCAACATTGCTGCTGCCGCAAGCCCTCCTGCCTGCCTTCTTGCAGCTCTTGGCCAGCAGCCCAAGGTCTCTTCGGTTGATGACATGTGCACCGACTTCATGTCGGCCATGCTTGGCAACTTGACCAGTGTTTGCCACGGCGACGATCTCAAGGAGGCCTACAAGTCTTACGCATCTACGTGCGCTGAGATTGGTGTCAAGGTTGCTGATCTGCCCTCGGCCTCTACCACGAGCGCCGCCCCTACCTCGACCCCAGAGGCTTCAGGTACCCCCGGTCCTGATGTTACCTCAGCGCCATCGTCAGCCACTCCGACGTAAGTTCCCTCCCGCAGACTTGTCGAAAATTCCAGACTGACACACGGTAACAGCGATGGCCCCCAAGAGTCAAAGCCCAGCGCTGCTGGCGCTATTTCTCCTCATGCCGTTCTCTTCACGGTACTCGGTCTTTCTGCGACTGGCCTCGTCAGCATAGTATTCCTGTAGGGGCAACCAAGTTGCGCCAAAACACAAGCGAGCATTTGATTTTTCTGGAATTCGACATATCATTCGTGGTCAAACAGCACACGAAGTTCTAGGGATTCGTTTCAGGCCAAATATCGACAGATGAATTATGGGAACACAGGACAACCACGGTTGCTTCGGGACTAGGCGGCAGGAAAATGGGCATTTGCCATAGCTGGCGGCGTTTCGGATAGATGGGAATTGATGAACCACCTTACGAAGAGCATTGGCGTCCAAGGACAAGGTGTGAGATTAAAGTTGAAATTTTACGAATTGGTATCTTTTCCTCCTCTTCTAAGTCTTGCTAGACCTCTCTCTATGCATGTTTTTATTTCAACGTGACTAGCTCTTCGGCGCTAGTCGGGTGAATGGCAACACAGCTGTCAAAGTCCTTCTTGGTCGCGCCCATCTTCACAGCAACACCGAAGCCCTGGAGCATCTCTCCGCTGCCAAGACCAGCAATGTGCAGACCAACAACCTTCTCCTCGGGGCCGGCGACAACAAGCTTGTAGGCGGTGGGGCCCTTCTCTTCAGGCTCCATCATGGCGTAGTACATGGCGGTGAAGCTAGTCTTGTAGACCTTGATGTTGTCCTTGCCATATTTTTCAATAGCCTGGGGCTCAGTGAGGCCGATGCTACCGACCTCGGGGTGGGAGAAGACGACGGAGGGGATGTTGGAGTAGTCGAGGTGCGCCTTTGCGTACTCGGCGCCGCCAAACAGGCGCTCGGCCAGACGACGACCGGCAGCGATGGCGACGGGGGTCAGCTCGACCTGGCCGGTGACGTCACCGAGGGCATAGATGTTGTCAATGTTTGTGTTTTGGTACTCGTCGACGGGGATATAGCCCTTCTCGTTGAGCTTGAGGCCAATCTCCTCGAGGCCGATATCCTTTGTCGCGGGCGTGCGGCCAATGGCCCAGATGAGGTGGTCGAAGCCGCCCTCGGACGTCTCCTTGCCTTCGGCATCCTTGTAGGTGATTGTGAGCTTGCCATCGGCATCCTTTTCGACCTTTGTCGGCTGCGACTTCTTGTGCAGGTTGACGCCCAGGCGCTCGTACTCCTTTGTGACGGTCTCCTGAATGAGGGGGTCAAAGGTGCGGAGGAAGGTGTCGTGGCGGATAAAGAGGTGGGTTTCCGTGCCGAGGGCGTTGAACATGCCGGCGAACTCGACGGCGATGTAGCCCGCGCCGACGAGGGCCACCTTCTTGGGCTGTTCTGCAATATCGAAGAAGCCGTCCGAGTTAGTTCCCAGCTCGGCGCCGGGGATGGTAGGCGGGATGGTGGGGTTGCCGCCGACGGCGACAAGGATCTTCTTGGCTTTGACGAGGGTCTTTGTGCCGTCGTCGAGGGTGACCTCTGCCTCATTGCGGGAGGTGAGCTTGGCCCAGCCGTGGAGGTACTCGACGTTGTCGTTCTTGAGGTTGCGCTCGTAGATGCCGTTGAGGCGCTTGATGTAGGCGTCGCGCTTGGTCTTGAAGGTGGGCCAGTCAAAGGGGGCGCTCTCGTTGACGGAGAAGCCGTAGGACTTTGCTTGGTGGATCGTCTCGGCGATGGCGGCGGCGTTGAAGGTGACCTTTTTCGGAACGCAGCTGTGGCACCAGGGCGTTAGCATAAACTTGCTCGCGTTTGTTGTTTTACTTGAATCCCCCTGATAGGGAGAGAGAGAGAGAGAGAGAGGCTGAAGGTACACTCACCCAACGTTCACGCAGGTTCCTCCCAGCCTGGCGCCCTCGACGATGAGGGCCTTTGCGCCGAACTGACCGCAGGCTTTACGCGCCGAGGCGAGGCCGCCGCTGCCGCCGCCGATGACGAGGTAGTCGGTCTCCTTTGTGATGGGAGCCATGGTGCGCGCTATTGAAGATAGGTGCCTCTGTATGGAAACGAGTCGTGTGGGTGCTGCTGCTGCTGCTCGTGATGCTGCTGCGGTAGATGTGCGGTAGAGGGCTTGCATGGGGAACTGAATCGCGAGGCGAGCGAAGCAAAGCGAGGAGGAGGGGGAGGGGGGGCAGAGTAAATAGATTTCCGATATGTACGGTGGTGGGGCCGAGTTGAGTGACGTCTTATATGCTTCTAGATGCGCAACTTGTACGCTACCGTATCTGACAAATGCAGCTTATAGTATGGTGCGTGTGTATGTACACGTGTGTAGCACGACGGACGCGGAAATGGGTCAATGGTGGGATGGAGCTGATGTAAGTTTTTTCCCTCTCTCTTTCTTGTGTCCAGAACCTCGGCGGCGTTTGTTGCTGTTCGGCGAGTCGGGGGAGAGTGAGGTGGTGGATTGGGGGTATCTCAAATTCGGCGTACCGGGGTCAGTCGGTGGCGCGCGACGTCAGGGTGTTTCCTATGGTTGCTCTAGAACAATGGATGGATGCGTGTATGTGACATGTGCATCTGTATCCGTAGGCTCAGTGGTAGTGTACAGAGTACGGAATAGAGTGGTGAGGTGGTGCTGTTGTCCAAAAGCGTTGTTGAACAGAAAATGGAATATGCATGGGGATGAATCATCACCAATCAACCGCCCATGTTCACCCGAAAAAAAAGGGTCCCCGCTGGAGAAAGCCGTGGAATTTGGGTTGATAACTAAGCACCGTACAGCTGAAGCCCGGCGGGCATCTGTAATTTTCGCAATTGTCGCAACTTGCAGGGTACAATTTTTTTCGGGGTCCAATCTGTGAATGATGGAGAAGAGAATCATCGCCCATCATCCGTCATCAAACCATTTTGACAAATTGACGTAAACAGGGGCATTATTCCAAATGCAACCCCCGTCCGCTGGAGCTGACCTCGGCCGAGGTACGAAGGTACCTTCCACCACCGTCCCAGTCCTCCCCCGCCGTCCTCGCCCCGGCACGGGAGCTAAGCCGGAAGCTTCGGTGGGAAAAAGCATGACTTCGAGCCGGGCAACTTACCAAGCAGACAAGCTCTTCAATGTCCCCCGAATCATCAACACCTAACTAAATATGGATGGACAACCGTGGTTTTGTCGGCTTTCTAGACAGCCTTTTTCTAGTCTTCTCATTGGCACCCAAGCTGACTAGCCCAATGCAAGCAGACGTCATTAACAGTTGCTGGTGCTGAACTGTAGCGCAACCTCGGACTGGTGACTTTGGCTCCAGAGGGACATTGTCGATTCTCACCAAGCTGAAGCCTGGTACATGCAAACTTGGGTAGGCCCCACAAAAACGGGATGTATGAGAACGATACTGCACCGGAAGAGACTAATACCGCCATTTCAGTTCACTCCGGAAGTCTGCCACAAGCCAGAGGTAGACTGCGTCTCGTCAATCATGTGTTTCATTGCTTTCTTATGCTGTTAGACAGCCTCTATCGGGGTATCATATTTGACTATAACTATCCTCATCCTCAGTATTCATCGTAGTAACCGTCATACTCTCCAATCTGAGCCTGAGTACTGACCCATTCCTCATCCGCCAAGCCGCGCATCATCCGCCTCTGGAGAGCCTGGGCATCTTTGTGCCAGTCGCAGGCAAAGTCACAATTCGGCGTCTCGCTCTCGCCAAAATATCTGCAAATCTGCGCATGCCGACAGGCCGTTGTGTCTTCGCAATAGAGCGCAAGTTTCTGCAGGCTCTTGGCCTGAGCTTCCCAATTCGATCCATCGCGGTTCCCTTTCCTGATCATACTCTGTACGCGTTCCAAGTCTTCTCGGCTGTAATACAGAAAACAGAAACTTGCGTTCCCGTCTCTGCCTGCGCGACCTGCCTCTTGGTAGTAACCTTCAAACGACTTGGGTAATCGCCAGTGTACAACAAACCGAACATTGTTCTTGTCAATGCCCATGCCAAAGGCTGTCGTGGCCACGATAATATCATAGCCAGGCTCGTTGTTTACCCAGCGGGCCAGCGTTTGTTCCTTCTTTTCCTTGGTAAGCTTCGCATGGAAGGGCATCGCGCCTACACCTTCGTCTCTGAGTGCCGCCGCAAGTGACTCGCACTCATCTCTTGATATGGTGTATATGATTCCCGAGACGTTGTCCAGCCGCTCTCCAGCGGCTTCCAACTCTGATTTGCGTGGCTCTGTTTTTCTCCTCTCGTACACCCCACGTATCCAAGCTAGAAAGTTAGATAGGCGATCGTCCTCTTGGTCTTTGGTATATCGGATTTCAAGGTGTAGATTGGGCCGATGAGCGGTCATGACGAAACTCTTCAGTCTTTCGGGTTGTTCCAGGAGACCAAGCGTCTTGAGCAGATCCTGACGAACCGTCGGATTTGCTGTTGCCGTCAAGCACGTAATGGGCACATTGGGAAAAGTCTCTCGAAACCATGAAAGCTTTTTGAAGTCTTTCCGAAAATCGTGACCCCATTCTGAGATGCAATGAGCCTCGTCGACTGCAATGCGTGCCAACTCACACTGCTCGTGGACCAGCTTGATGCGTCTCCTGAAGGAGTCCCCTGAGCATAGCTCCGGTGTCACGTAGAGTAGCCTGATGCGCGGGTGGCCACTAGCAAGATCCTGATTGATGCGATCTCGCTCAACGGGCGGCGTATTGCTGTTGAGGGAGCTGGCATCGATGCCCGCCGATCGCAGTGCTTCAACCTGATTCATCTAACGGAGCTGTCAGCTGTCGCACTTGAGTAAGACTGCAAGGTATACCCCTCACCATGAGACTGAGCAGTGGCGAAACCACAATGGTGACTGTCGCAGCGAAATCACGTTAGTTGACGACGACGCGTGCACGCGAGCTCGGAGCAGTTTCGGGTACTTACTCCCTTGGTCAATGCAGGCAGGGAGTTGGAAGCAAAGACTCTTGCCGAACGACGTCGCGGCCTGAACGAAGACATCGTGACCGTCTAGGGCAGCAACGATGATTTCACGTTGTTGGGGCCTGTGGTGGATTTGTCAGTCGGTGTTGCGTGATCACGGGGCACGTGCCATGAGAGTGTAGCTTGTGAACTCGGCGATGGGACGAGGGATAGTTCTTCACCTGAAAGTCGACTTGTTGAACTGGCGTCTGAGAGTGAAGTCTATGTCAACGCATGAGTTGGAGCGCGATAGAGGAGGCATGATAAACGATGCGTTGTCGAGAGTTGATGAGGGGTGTTGTCCTGACGTGAACAAGACTGGTGTCTTAGTCTCGATGGGGTTATGCTTGGCCGAGCTTCTGGATTGCTTCTATTGCAGAGCGCGGGAGCATAAGGTTGCACTAGACCAAGAAGAGGGCCCGGATGTGGTCATGATCGAGCTCGGGTCCGGAGGTGGTCCGTCAGGCGTTGGGCCTTTGGTGGGCCTTGGACAGCCGGCCTGGCCGAATACCCTCAGACGGGAAGCGGAGCGAGACAGTCGGCTTTGTCAGTGGATGTGCGCACAGGGGGACTATAAACTGATCAATTGGGTCAACGTGAGAATTCCGAAAGATTCTGATAGACGTACGAATACACAGTCCAAGTGGCTGCTGTCACGCGTGGCTGTGCTTCTTCAAAAGAGAGGCAAGCAAGGGTATAGAGATGCAGACCGGGTTCATGGAACGAAGCTACGAACGGACAGCAGACTCAGAAATGGACCTCAGGGCTGACCAATGACATGAAGGCCTAAGGCTGCAAGGGTGGCAGATGTGACATTTCCTTTGCTGCGTTTGTTACCGAGGGCACTTGCGAACCTACGAATATGGGCACCTTCTGAGGCCGGGTGAAGGAAGCAGAACAGATCATTGGATCGTGGGTGAAATACCTCGTAGGTTGTTTCCTTGACTACCATGGATAATTGACTTTCTTTTTTTCCCCCGACTCGTAACAAGAAGCAGGGAAAACTGGAGGAAGGAGGCGCCAAGACCAGGACACGGGGCAGGTAAAGTAAGAAGGGTGAACGGGGTCACCGTTGCCGCCGCGGATTCAATTGACAGGAGTGCTCCGCGTACTTGCTTTCGCTTCATACGGGGTCATTATGAGGCGATTCGAGGGGTCATGTTTGCAAAGGTAGAGACAAAATGAGAAACAAAGCGGCCAGTCCCCAGTCTCTAGACCAAATTTCTCGGCCATTTCCTATTTCGGCGAGCTTCGCAAACGATGCTCTGCTGTCAACATTGCGCAACCCGGGCCACCCCTTCCCGTCCAGCTGGGACACTGGAGACTGCTAGGTACTAAGGTAGGGGATGGAGAGAAAGACACTTGACTCCTTATAGTATGACTATTACTTGGTGTAGCGGACGGAACGGGGACCGTGTAGGAAGTGAGGACTCAGCAGGAATTATTGCCGGCGGGATACCTACGCTACCTCTTTGTCGAACAGTCGACCCCAAGGCCAGCATCGGTAGGATCACAGACGGCGCATTGTGCAGCGGGCGCGCTTTTCCCAAGTGGTGAAGGTCCTCCCACGGTGGGCTCGCTCGGGCTGGGCGTCAGTGTTACGGACTGGGGGTCATTGCTTGCTGATTCATGGCCACGTTGTGATGAATCGCACACAAACATTCGCCGGTATCTGGCACGGGTGCCAAGGTGTGTGCCTGTCGTCAATTCGGTCCCCTTCTGCGGGAAAGCCTCAACCACTCAATTGGGTGGATTGAAACGAGGACCGGATCTCCAATATCGTTGCCTCCGGACGGTGATCTTTCTGGTAAAGAGGAGGGCGGGGCTCGTGGTCTTCACGACCGTGGTCGAGGAACGCCGTGGGTAGCAAGGGCAGGGCGAAAGGCAAACTTGGAAGGGATTTCCGTGCTTATTCCCAGCAGACTTTGCTTTGGAATTGACGCCAGGCGGGCATGTCTGACAGGCCGTTGGAACACACGGCCCCAGATCTGCAAGAGGAGTCTTATTATTTACTGAGCTTAAATCTCGACGATGCAGATGCAGATGCAGATATCGAAAGAGATGCCTACTGTACGGATAGATATTAGCGGAACCAACCCGATCAAAATATCGATGCGCCCAACAGCTCGTCATGGAGACAGACACAAGTGCACTGAGTACTTCCGTACAGCATACGGATATGGGCGTACGAAACCACGTTGTACTGGAGCTCCCCCCCCCCCCCTCCCACCCCCTTCCTTCTCGTCATCGCTTCTCGGGTTCCGTAAATTGATACGAACTATCCCGACTCTGTAACACCCTAGTAGCGAACTGGATGTGTTCGTTTCCATTCGTCCTTAGGCTAGCCTGTCGCGCCTCTTGATTCAAAGTTCATCTCAGCAACAAAAAACCTGGCCGCCAGGGATCATTCGAGGGCGAGATTGAGTGCGGGTGAATGTGGGGGCGAACGGAGACTGGAAAAAGGCAGGTGCGTAGCCTGTAGGTACAGAGACCGCTACTCTGTAAGTGTATCTGTAGCGTGGAAGAAGTAACCGTAAACGAAGGCATGCCGCATGCCCTTGGAAATAATAAGATTCAACAGAGTACACTAAGCCAAAATACTGGGGTTGGAGAAGATATTGTAGAAACCGCGTGGGAGGTTGAATGGAATGCGACGCTGACACGGAAAACTTTTCTTGTGCAAACCTGCGTGTCCCGGTATGACACCCTGCCTTTGTTTCTGAGCCTCGCCCTTTTTGCGCCAGAAATACTCCCAGGGGCTGGGGAGTCTGGCTTGTCTGTGTGTGCGCCCTGGTCGTTTCCCGTTTGATCTGTTCTAGACCTCTGACTATCAAGCGGCAGGCCACCAGTGCCAGTGCCGCATCTGTCTCTCCCAGAGTCCCAGTCGATCCGTCTCGCACAGAGTATCGGTACGGTGAAGGAGTATGGAGGAGCGAGGTGTGATCCTGGTTTCTGGACTGTTGGGTATCATAGGGTGACACACAATCTGCACAGTGGGGAGAGATGTTTCTCGGCGTGACATCAAGCCGCAGCAGAGTCGTTCGTGGAAGCGTCCGAGTGTCCTGGAACAGCTGGCCACAGTCCTCGATATCGATCATGGTGTGTGGCCCATTTGCAGTTGGTGGTTGTGTGTAGCCACCCGATGCCTTATTTCAAACGAGGCGTGTCACGTTGATGCCCGAGTCGACCATGTCGTCAGGAAAAGTTTCGTTGAGGCAGCAGGGACAGAACGATGTGCTGCATGAGGCAGTCAGTCCTACGTACAAAAGTATTAGTCGAGGAGAGGGGGGGGGATATGTCGAGAGTTCTGTCAGACTGTCATATGCGCTTTGGTCAAGTCCTCCCGCCCTTCCGCATTTGGAGCACTGTGCGACGTGCGAGATCTGGGGGAAAAGTCGAGTTACCGCGAGCCGCGATGTGTCCATGTGCCTTGCACTTTTGGCATTTGCGGTACGTACGCTATGAGAGAAAGCTACCTTGTGGAGGTATCCGTACCTTACCTAAGCCTCTACCTACACAGTACCTTAAGGTGCTGATGGTGAAGTGCGGCGTGCGGCGTGCTTGCCTTCACTTGGAGAAGCTTTTTGATCTGGGTGAGGTACTCCGTACTCCGTTCCTACCTACGGATAGGTACCTGAAGGTAAGGAAGGTACTCAATCCACGCCCCCTCCTTCTCGCCTCTCGTTACACTTTTACACACCCCGCCCTTTCCCTTTTCCTCTTTTATTTTTCCTTCCATCTTTTCCTTTTCCCTCCTGCCAGTGCTCAATGTCCCAGGTTCCAGCCAGTCGCGTGCCTCTCCTTTCGCGTGCTCTTCACCAAACAGCCGCTCTCACCCATAAACTTGAGTGTTGATATCCCTTCTCATTGGTCTTTCATGATGGCATCTATCCGTACAAGCACAAGCCTCTCCAATGGAAGTCTGCTCAAGCCAGCAGTCTGTGCGCCAAGCTTCAACCCCCAAAAGGAACCCTCAAAATGTAAAGCAGCTGGTTCACTTACCTTGCCTGACCCAAGGTAAGGTGCTAAGCATTTAGCATAGGTATCCGTAGTACGGGAGAGCTTCTGCTCGCCTCCGTCTGGATTCTGCAGAGGGATATCTGACTGTACATACGGAGTACCTCAGTCTTCCATTCTGCACATGTGAGGCCCAGAAAGTGCCTGCAGCGTGCCCTGCCGTGCCTGCTTATCTTTACCACGACTGGAGCCAGAAATGGAAAGAAGCAGTTCCACCGTGGTTCCACCCCGCCGCCCCTTTTTTTGGCTTCCCTCCCGTCCAAGACTCCAACTGACTGAGATCTGGTCCCCCATTCTCGTCGCCCTCTGTGGTCATTGGTTAGCACCTTAGGTACTGGGCTGGAGTCACAGGTAACTGGTCGAGTGAGGACGGCACCTTAGCACCTTACGGAGTACCTTACTTTCTAGTGTTTCTCTTTCCCACTGGCTGAGGTTGTTTCCCCCAGTCCCCAAATAACATCAGAGGGCGTGCGGCTCCGGCTCTAGACCTCTCCAAGGGGGCGTGAAGCCAGCGAATGACAACAGTGACCATGCAAGGTACTCCGTAAGGTACTCCGTATCCTCGTACGTAGACCTCGAAATAATCCTCATCCCTTCTCCCCAATTGCCCATCCACCACCACCTCCCAAAAGAAGCTCCGGTTGGCAAGATGTCAGTTTCATCGTAGCACAACCTGACAACATCTCCACTCTTTTTTTTTTTTTTTTTTTGTTCCTGTCGGGTCCAACGTTCCTGCCTTTACAGTCTTCTGTTCCTCTTCCATTTTGCTTCCAGGGAAACACCCATCCCGGTGACGAGAGACACAGCCAGGAAAAGGGAAAGGGCACCCGCGTACCCAACCAGACAGCCCTTACCTGCCTTCTTTTTATTTCACGTCTCCTTCCTTTTGCCGACGCCCACTAGCAAGTTGTAACCAACCGTACCATCCATACCTCTGCCATCGCCGCCATTTCTACACCGCAGGCTCCCAGAGCAAGGTACATAGAGTACTTGACTACGTCCAACAACTTTAGCAGCCCGAGTTGCAGACATTCGAAGAAACCCAACTTTGCCTCGCCCACGCCTGCAGGATCTCTACTCGTATCCTAGGTACGGATACCCCCGTCTGTCTGGCTTGCTAGCTGTGCGAGGTGTGTCGGGCCCTACTACTGTTGACCGCGCTTGAGAGGCTCGGCTCCATCTTCGGTCGCTCGTCCCCGACTGGCGACTTCCTCCCAAATCGCACGAATCCGCCTCCACCTCCTTCTTCCTCTACCGTACACCTACCCGACCTTGGCCTACCTTACCCGCAAAAAAACATCATTGCTCCCACCGATTTCGTCGCGCCTTACTTCAACGAATGCCTGACTCTTCATGATGATCTCGCGCGTCTTGCAGCTCAGCCTGTCCTGTTCCAAAAGTCCATTGGCTTAAACTCCTGGCTTCCGTCTCCAATTGTTTGAGGGTCCCGACCAACCCACGGCCGGCCATCCAACATTCAAAGGGGACCCTGAAACGCTGCAGTCTACCCAAACCTTCGACTCTGCGACAACAATAGAAAATCGTCACTCTTCGCCCTCTCCCATCCTTCTTTTGTGGATCGCCGGCAGTTCATCATGGTTGAACGAATGGAACGGCCAGACAGGCCATCGGGGCCGCCTATGCCTCGCGGCTTGCCCGAGAATCCCGCCCAAGGTCGACGACAACTCCAGAAAGATGCAGCGCTCGGCAACATCCCTCCGCCGCCTCCCCTCCCGCCGATGCCCAAGGATCTCCGAAATCTTTCTACCGGCCCGAGCCTCTCAGCTTCCTCGCCCATGACCTCAGCCCAAGTCATCGCCCTCGCCCGCGATGCAATGCAGAGTGCCCTTCACGAGAACGAGTCTCAGGCCGCCGAAGCGAGTGCCGTGAGCAACGAACTGAAACCCGGCGTCACCATCGACTTGAGCCGCAAGGGCATTCAGAAACTCCCAGATGAGGTTGTTGATATTATTAAGAATGAGTTGGAGCGGTTCGTACACCTCGCATGCCTTCTTGTCCGACGGGGCTGCTTCTCTAACGCGCTTCTGTAGTCTCGCCCTATCGCACAACCAGGTCAACTCCTTCCCAGCCCGATTCTCCGAATGTACATCTCTACGATACCTCAATGTGCGGAATAATCAGATCAGGGAGTTTCCGCTGCCGGTTAGTTCCTCTTATTGGCAAATGCATCATTGGGACTCTGGCAGATTCTGACCAATACTCTAGCTCTGCGACCTGAGATCTCTCGAGATTCTTGACCTGAGTAAAAACAAGCTTCGTGCTCTGCCCCCTGACATTGTCAAGCTTGCTTCTTTGAAGGTCTTCTCCGTCCAGAAGAACCGGATCGAAGAGCTGCCCGTTGCTTTGTCCGACATGGTTTCGTTGCAGGTACTTAAATTCGATGGCAACCCTATCACATTTCCGCCTCGGGAGGTCCTGCAGGTGCAAGCAAGTAGCCCGCCAAACGAGGGCTACCTGAAAGAAAGCGAAGTCACCGAGGTGGCTGTCACTGCACACATCAAGCGCTTTTTAAGACAGCATACCATGAACGGCCGTGCAGAGTCAGACACGGCTGGTGAAGAATCCAGCGAAGGCGTGGAAACCCCACGTATGCCACCGATCAAGCGAGTTGTCAGCGGTCGGTTTCCTATCAAGGTCAATGGTACCGATATGCCTGATCTTCGATCCCCGAACCTGATTCGGCCTCCTCCTATTCCGAATCGGTCGCATTACCGAGGCTTGTCTCAGCAGAACACAGCCCTCCGCCGTCCTGGAGTTATGCCCTTGACGATAGGAAATGTCAACGAGCGCCTCAGAAGCAACTCAGAGACGTTGTTGCAGGCAACTCGTGGAGAACGCCCCGAATCTCGAGCAAGACGCATGGGCGTGGTATCTCAGAAGGCTACTCAGCTCGGCACCTTGGATGAGACCCAGGCCAACAACCGCTTCAGTCACTACAGAGGCCTGAGCCATGGTAGTGCCATGCAGCCGCCTCCCCCCAGCATGTCGGTCAAGAGCCCCAACAGCCCTGCAGAACCTTTCCTCCAGCGGCCGATTTACGTCAGAAGACTCTCGGTTCTCCCTGAACGCAGACGCGAGTCCAAGTTCTACGACCCTATTCTCGAGGCCGCCAAGGGCATTCTCTATGCCGTGTTTCAAATCCATCCCATGATCCAAATGCTTATGAGCTTGACGAGCGATGGTTCCTCCAAGAGATCTAGTCTTGAGATTGTCTTTTACAACACGAATTCGCATGTGGAGGAGCTGGAGCAGGAGATCCAGAAGCACGACCCTATGGTGGTGGGAGACGAGATGGCGGGCCGCGAGAATGAGAACGTCCATCGGGCGTGCCAGACTCTGGTCGGGGCATATACCCATGTCTGCACCCTTCTCGCCGGCAATATTGATTCATTTATCGACAACGGAGATCCGCGCTACATCCGCACTCTTCTGATGCTCATCTATAATAGCATCATGGAGATCAGATGTACTCTTGCCGCGCTGACACCAGAGGCTGGTTTGATCAAGCCCCCTACGCGGGCCATGAACATGAGCGATACAATCAAGCCCCACTCACGCGACAATTCCATCACGCCTACCGCTGAGCGGCTTGGGTTGGCTCAGCGACCACGGCCCGGCCCCATTATGCACAACCCGAGCAACCTCAGAGTTGCGACAGACGTGCCCCTTCCGTACCTGAACGGAATTAGCGGTATGAATGGCATGAACGGTATGAATGGAAACGTAGCAAGCCGTACAGCAACGCTCACTTCCGCAACGCCACGGTCAGGGGAATCGTTTGCCTCGGCCTCATCTGGGGGACGTAGCGTATCCGATTTCACCGAGGACGACAGACACTTTGAGAAGATTTTCCTCTCCCTGCGGAAATCGACACTGGTCGTCTTGAGGACTTTGCCCGATTTCCAGAACCACATGTCTGTCCTCGCGAAGAGGGCAATGGGACGTCGCGCACCCGAGCATGAAATGATGTGGTGGAAGGCTCTTATTAGCAGATGCGGCACGGCAGTGCAGCAGACGGAGATGCTGCAGAGCCGCCTGTCACTAATCAAACTCAAGGAGCCTGGCCTTATGAACCAACCAGCCTTCAGAAGCTTGATCAGCAACTTCATTGACTCGTGGTATGAATTTGGTTCTCAAATTCGCTGGGCGTTCAATGAAGTCAGTCTCCCACCCGATACCAGGGTCCGACTACGCCCTATCCAGCAAACCATGAAGGATGCAAGGGATACTATTCTTCAGTCGCCTTGGAGCTACTTGTTGCGACAGTCCTCGAACCCCAACACGTTCAGCCCGAACGGTGGCCCAGGCTTGGCACCCATGCAGTTGCCAATGACCCCTCAGAGCGCAGCTTTGGGCCCTGCTGTCCAGGCGACGGTCCCTTCCACGCCGCAGAGTGCTTCCTTTGCCTCGGCCTTCAACGGCGGCGTCTTTGAGCGCGCGGATGCTCTCATTTCTATGGGTGGCCTCTCGATGTCTCGAAACGGTACGATGACAAACAGCTCGGCCGCTAGTTTCACCATGTCCTCCATGTCATCGCTATCATCCGACGGCGGTGCCATGACACCATCATCAGTCATTAGCCCTAATGGCTTCGGCCCTGGCCCGGTGCCACTGCGACTCAACGGTAGCAAAGTTGCCTTCTAGTCGAAGCGCAGAGCCACTACACCTTGGATTCGCCGCACATTTTGGGGCAAAAAGTACGGATCGCAATCAAAGTAGATCTATCTTGTTTTTTTGTTTATACGGTGGTCTGGATGACCAACAACCGCATTTTGTCTCATTCCTTCATTCGCGCATAGCATTGGCGTCACGGTCGGACTCATTCACGGATGGTAGCCATACACTCATTTGAAAAAAAAACACGCCTCGGGCCACTACGCAGGTCAAGGGGCGCATGTAATGTTATAGTCACGAAGCAAAGTGGATGCCATCTCCCTGCATACAGGACATGGGGAGCGCGGGCACCAGAGAAATGGCCGCTACGAGTTCATGTGCCACGGTTACACATCAACTATTGCTGTCAGCTGTATATTAGATTTGGCCTATTGGCAAGTAGGCAAACATAACAAGCAAAGGTTGAACCTAAGCTTTATTTGGAAAACATGTGATTTTCGGCAGCCTTTGGCCCCTTCATGTGTTTGTGTTTGCTCAATCTAAGGAACATGGACAAAATACGCCTGCGGATTTGTCACATACGACCACACCCACCGGAGAACTCGGGATCCCGTCCGCTCTCCCATCGATAAACCGGTGAGGGCCGGAGTAGTAGCTGGGTCGGAGACGACCAGCGAATGCCCGGTGTTGTATGTTTCTTTTTTCGTAATGATTGCTTATCTATCTGACCTATAGGACGATCACTGCGATCCCATGGTGACCACATTGGGGGCAACCTAGATGATGAAGCACACTCCACGGCGCTTCCCACCACCCTTGTCAAGCCCTACGTCCTCTCTCTCTCTATGAGGCAAGAGAAGAAGAAGCGGACTCGGGCTTCTTCTCCCCCTCAACCTTGGCAAACAAGTCCCGCTGCGTGTCGAGGTAATCAAAGGCCGTCAGGGGCACGCCAAGGTGGCGGAGGATGCAGTAAGCGGAGCCGAGGTGGAAGTGGAAGTTTGGGCAGGCGTACTGGACGACGTACGAGTAGCCCGTGAAGCGGAAGGTGCCCATGGATTTCGTCTCCATGAGGATCTCGTCGTCCTCGCGGCCGGCGGGCATGGAGGTCTCCGGGTCGAGGGCGGCGAGGATGGTGACGGTGGCGTCGACGCGGGATTGGAGTTGCGGGAAGGTCGTTTCGTCGTCTGGGAAGTAGGTGTCTGGGGCGTGGGCTACGCGGGTGGCGAGGAATTTTGCCGTGTTGGAGATTGATTGGACTTGGTAGTCGAGGCTGTATTTGGGGGGGAGGGGGGAAGGTTAGCTGACGAGCTTTTTGTAAGTTTGTTCGACATTGAAATTGGGATGGAGGGAATAGGAGGACAAGGCGAGATGGAGGGTGTGGGACGACAGCTTACCTTCGCATATCTTCGATGAGTCTGAACTTGATCATCTCTTCTTGGTTGAGACCTTTGGCGATGCAGTGCTGTTCGGCTTTTGTGAGGATGACTTTGAGATTGCCCAGGTATTTGAGCATCATTGGGATGGACGCATTGTAAAGTGAGACCATGTTGACGTTGTTAATTTGGATAACTATGAGCTTCAAAATACTTGCTTGGGCATGTAAACGAAGAATCGGAAGGCTGATGAAGACAGAAAACGGGGAAATATGTGAGCAGAGGAGAGGAGTCCTTCTTATTCCATGTCACATCCTAAGATAGCCCGAGGAAGACTTCCAGTCTAATTGCGAGCGCCCGTTGAGTTCACTTCTCTACGTCAACATTATACTAGGTCGGCTACTAGTCTTGTCGATTTCAGGTACCATTCATACCAAAGATCCGTTTGTAATCCGGCTACCGGCATCATGTCTTTAATGTGGAACAGAAGAGACGGGTTGGGGGGTTTATAATTCTCAAGCGCTGACGTGAGACTACAATAGCGATATGGGATTGTTTGAAATCAAAGTCCTGCCTTTCCCGCGTGCGCGAGACTCGATGTGGTAAACAGCTTAGGGTCCGTAGGGAGACACTTTACCTATCGAGTCCAAAGGAAAGAACGTCGTGGAGTTCGTACTTGATCCTCCGGGACCGACCGGCCCCACTACCCCGCCATCTCATGCGGGGCGCTATCAGCCGATCCCGTCACCTCCTCTGATTCGCCGTCACCACGACTTACCTGATCGAGGCAGGACCGGTGATTCCTCTAGTGTATCCGTCCTGTACCTTAGGTAGGTAGATCGCGCAAAATTCTTAGAGATCCAAGGCGCAGACGTGGCTACGCAGATAACCTTACCTTTCTTTCCCCCCCGCCACCCGCATATTCTCCTGCTTTGCTTAGCTCACGATCCTTACGAGAGCTCTCTCCGTCTCCACGCCACGGAACCGGAAGCCTACAAGGTACACGAAAGAGCCCATTTGCCCACATTCTTATCCAGAGCAGGCAGTACTATTTGCGCCTGGGTGTTTTACGCGGGCGTATACCGCATACCGTATCCCAGAAAGGCTTCAAATACGCCGCCATCATGTTCGCCTCGCTATCATCATCCTGGTCGGGAAGGAATGCGCAGCCGCCGCCGCCGCCTCCGCCTCCGCCGGCGTCGTCTTCCTCGACGACCTCGACGTCGCAACACCCCAGCGTATCCAGCACCTCCCGCGCAGAGCACTCGCAGTCCTCCAACACCTCCGTCTCCGTCGCCGCCGCCGCGGCCCCTCACAACGTCTTCTTCGGCGCCGCCGCCGCCCAACACCAACAACATGCGCCTCCAGCCCCCGCCTCCTCCTCGTCGGCGGCCGCATCAGCCTCCTCGCCGCCCCAACAACCCCTCCACCAAACCCTCCCCTCCCCAGACCAACAACATCACATCTCCGAAGCCCGCGCCGCCGTCGTCGCCTCCATCGGCAACATGCTCGATGGCGAGCTGCAGACCCGCGCGCGGATGCTGCACGCCAATGCGGCGGCGCTCGACAAGCAGGAGCGCGACGTCGTGCGTGCGACGGAGGCGCTGCGCAAGGAGAACGACAAGCTGGCCAAGTTCTCGGGGGACGCGGCGCGCCGCGTGAAAGAGCTGGGAAATGTGCAGAACTGGGCCGAGGTGCTGGAGCGGGATTTTTTGGTGCTCGAGGAGACGTTACGGCTTGTGAGGGAGGGGAGTTGTGGGAGCGGGTGTGAGAGTTGTGGGAGTGAGGGGAGTTGGAGTGGGAGTGGGAGCTGGAGCGGGAGTGAGGTTGGGGATGATGGGGGGGATGTGAGGATGGGGGAGGATGGGCATGGCGGTAATGTGAATAAAGAGGGTGATGGTAAGGGGAAGATGAAGAAGCAGCAGCAGCAGCAGCATCACGATGAGCTTGTTGATATGGAGATTGATGGGGGGCATGAGGATTGTTCGGAGAGTCAGAGTTTGACTGAGGCCGAGTCGAGTACCGGGACGGATGGCCGAGCAAAGGGGTCCGAGACGACATCTATTTCGACATTGTGATTTGCTTGGGCCGGTGGTGGACAGACATGATACCTCTTTTCTTCACGACTGAACGATAGTGATGACTTATTCACGAAACGGAGTGGATTTTGAACAACAAAGTTTGATGATTTGGAAACTTTTACCCTCCTCTTTTTACGCCTTTCCGTAACTAAACACCTCTAGGGTCTTTTTCAAACATACCAAACATCACCATTCGCCATGATATTATCTTGTAAAGGAGTCGGCAGCTCAAGATATAGCCACAGCGACCAAGCTATACCGTCAGATGTAGGGCGTTGCACAATCTAGAAGATGCCGGGGAGCAGGACGAACTTCTTCTTCTTGTACGTCTCGGGGAACTCCTTGCGGTACGCGCGCTCCTTGCCCTTGGCCCACTGAGCCATCTGGGCAGCGCCGATGATAATGAAGACGGCAACGGCCCAGCTGCGGCTGGTGATGATGACGCCAATCCACGAGAGAATCTCAAACATGTAGTTGGGGCAGGTGACGAGGGAGAAGCCGTAGCCGCGGGGGATCTGGCGCTCGGTGCCGCCGCGGGAGCGCAGGCTGGCGAGGTTGAGGTGGACAATGGCGTTGGAGGCCTCGCCAAAGAGGAAGATGATTGTGCCGATAACGTCGATGGCGTCGTTGCGGGCGAGGGCGGTGGGCGAGGTGGGCGAGTAGACGTGCCAGGCGCTGAGGAGGCCGGCAAAGGCCCAGTAGAAGAAGGAGTTCTTGAAGATGTTGCGGAGGGGCATGGTGTTGGCGGAGAACTTGTGCACGAAGAGGGTCTCGTATTCGCGCTTGAGGAAGTGGCCGAGAAACATGGCGAGGGTGAGGAGCTGGGTCGGCGAGAGGGCCTTCTTGGCACCGGGGCCCGAGTAGATGTAGGGGCGCAGGCCGACGACGGCGATGTGGATGAGGATGGGTCCAAGGTACTCGATCACGAAGACGGTGCTCCATGCCAATTGGGGTCCTGCGCAAAGAAAGGAGTCAGTTCCGATGTCTCGTCTATATCCTGGCAAAACCATCATGTCTGGAATTGGGCGCTGGACCGCAACGTACCAAGATCCTTGACCAACACCTGGCCAGCAGAGATAACAGCCTCCTCGCTGCTGATCTGTGCCTTACGGTTCTTCAAAGTCTTTTGGGTCGAGGGGTCGAAGAGACCGACGCGGTTGAAGTCACTGAACCCGGCCTGGCGGGCAATGAGGTGCTTGACATCCTCGACGGTGGCATCGGCGGGGACTTCGATAGACTCGGGGAGCTTCTTGATCGGTTGCTTCGGTGCTGTGGGAACAGGTGTAAGTAATTTTCTCGAGATGTTCAAGGCCGGGTGTGTCTTGCAATGAATCACTTACAGCGGTTGCTCAGCTTGAGCGTGATTTTGGCTGCCATGGCTTCTGATTGTCCTGAGTAAGATGAGGGGTCGTCACTGGGAAATTCGAAATGCACTTTTTGTGTCTGCCCGGGAAGCTTGGGAGAGGAAGGGCTTCAATGGTGCTGGATTTCGGAGCAGTTGTTGAGAAGCTACTGCACGGCCGCTCGATGTGCCTCGGGATGGGTGGGGTTCTGATGCATTGGCACATTTGAGTTTGTACCTTGTAGGTGCATAATGCTTCTCTATGCATCGCCGCCAGGCGCATTGCTTTAAACGGCACGAACGACTAACATCATCTGGTCCTGGCCGCCCGCGACAGCAAGTCGTCTCTGAATTGGCACACATAGCTTTGATATGGAGATTATAGCTAGCAGTCCACAGTTTTGTACGAAACTTATCTTCTCCCGGGAAAACACCCGAAGATTGCCAAGAACTGTGGGTTTCTAATCGAACGCCGCCTGGACACAGTCCCTTCAAGGTTCTCGAGAAGGCATTTCATGAACTAAAAGCGAATTCGGGAACCTTGCTTGCCCTCCTATAGGTATTTGCGCTGGAAGTTTTTGGGATTTGAATATGCTGTCTCTTATACCTTTGATATTTCCCTCAGCTATGTCGCTTTTTGGTCTTTCTCGAGACCGCTCGTTGTGCGACGACGGGACTCTGGAGATGCGGCCTTCAAGGCTAGGTGGACTGTTCAGGACAATCTCGACCGTGGTTCTGCTTGACCCTAGGATGTTGGGGACCAAGTATCTAAAACATTCCCCTTTCACTTAGGAATCCACCGTACTGATGACCCAGCCGAGTGTTACTCATGCTACATCGCAGTGTTTGAAGCTGCTGTTGGCTTTGTCTTGCTTGTCTCCTCATGGTCTTTTTTTCTAGCAACTTCACCTTCTGTCGGGAAATTTCTGTCGAGCACTCCCACAAAACAATTATTCGAGATACTTTGCATCTGACCGCAAGAAGAAATGATTGTTGGGAGATGGAAAGGTCCTTGAAGGTCCTTGAGTTCCGAGTTTCAAGTCAATCTTTACAGGCCATGCCTCTAATTGTTGTGATCGTATTCTGTAGCATCAAAACGACTGTTCGAAATTGGTTCAAGAAGGATGGCTTTTATCCGACCGCCTGGTCGATACAGAGAGGGCGCGTGGGAAGGTGCCTTCCTTCCATTAGTCAAGGTGCACCCACACCATGCCTCCCACCTCCCACTACTCCGGTCCACGAATCTTGCCTTCCTTTGCCCTCCCTCCGTTTCTCACCCTTTACTTTCTGCCTCTCCTTCTAGCTCTTTACCGTTAGGTATCATCCCAGTCTCAGTGGTTCGAGTGATCCACCTCTCCCCAAGAGAGTGAGCACTCACTCAATCACTTTCACCACGCATTCACGCATTCACGCCGTATTTTCGATTCAACACTGCATCTCCCACGAGTTCGATTAAATGAACTTCATTCTCTGAGCGTGGCCAAGATACCTTTTCCATTCGTTATTTTACATACCGACAATAGCTTTCCAGCAGCATAGCAGCATCGCTCTCACCCAACTGTCGACAAGCAGACTTTCTTCTCAGAGCCAGTCGAAAATGACTAGTCTAGGTGCCACTCCGGAGTTTATTCCGGGACGCCCTTTCCACCTTGGACTGGCAAAATGTTCTACGAATGCCAACAGGACCATCGTGCCCTCCAACCGAGAGACACTTTCCTTGCGACGACAGCGCAGTCAGAAAGTCCAGTCCAAGGTCATCAATGTGCCGTCTTCTCCTACAGCTTCATCCAGCACAAGTCAGCACTCAACAGAGACATCAAGTTCTGCTTTTGACGGCGTCGAAAATTGCAAAGACCACCACATCCATCCATCAAAGAACGACATACCCCCCGGTACACCCACAGCTCCGGCAGCAGACCGAAAACGCCAGATACAGCTGCATCATATCCCAGTCTATCACAGTCGTATCTTTCACACCCGCCCCCCTCCGAACGCACCAACAGGCCCTGCAGCCGATAGAAGACAAGTAGCGAAGGTTGCTCTAGTGCCTCCTCAAGTGCTTCCTCAAGCCGTACCCAGCCACTGCCAGTCTAAGGTCTGGCGGAGCCCCAAGACGGAGTTGACAGACTTGTTTACAAGAGTGCAGCTCGAAATGCAACGCCTTGGCTTCAGCAGGTCAGCTGCTGCCCCCGCCACATTCGAGGAGTACTTGGAAGTTGTTCTAGCCGAGAAAGACCGCAAGATACAACGAAATGCCGCTGTGTTACGGGCCATTAGGTTGAAAACAGAACAACAGAAGAGGGCGCGACAGATAGGCTGTGGCTCGAGCCATACCTCCAACAGACAACCAGCTCCGATTCGAGATACGACTTCAGGTCCAGGGCTGAATGTGGCCACTGCCAAACCATTGTATGGAGCTCATTCATGCTGGAACATTCAGTACACCAAAATGACGGACAGGGCAGAAGATCGATGTGATGAATGGCCTACACTTGCGGTGTACAAGGAAGCGAGTCGCAGGGCTTTGAACAACCAATGTCTGCCTCCTCTAAAACAGCGCAACGTTCAAGACCAAACACACATGGCACTTGGAGATGCGGCGTGGGAAGAGCGAGCATTAATTCACCAAGAACATGTTATTGGCTTGGACAACAGAACAGGCATCTTCTCACTTGGGAATGATGCTTCAACTGAGGCTGATCCGACCCATCACATAGATCCGCAGAGTCTCAACGATTGGACTCGAGAGCTTATTGACGAAATAATCCTTGAGATAGAGGGCGACGTGACAACGATCACGGACGAAGACGAAGCTTAGGCAGCGTTGAACAAGAGAAGAAAGAGATGCTGTCCAAGTCAATCAGTATAACAGGCAGAAAGAGGAGGCGGAACGAAGACATGTTATATGGCTCGAGTGCATTGGAACAAAGTTTGCAGTTGGCAAAAGCCAGTGCTGGCTATGGATTGAATATGCCGCATTGGCTTTCGGCACGGTCATTATCGGTGGCCAGAACACCTGGAAGGAAGCAAAGACGTACGACGCATTGAGAATATAAACCTCCTTTGCCGGACTTTGGGTTGCCAAAAACCAGCGGGAATTCTTTTGAGTAGCTAGGGCTGTGGAACCAAGTCTTACTTGGATTCCGCATTGCACAGAGCACAGAGATACGGGGGAGGTCATTCAGAGAGAAGAAGTAGCTCCTAGGGAAACTAGTGGCAAAGGCTTAGCGCAAATATGACATCTTTCAAGCAACTCTCATTCAAGATACATGTCAGCTCTTTTATTCGTGTACTTCTGCAGCAAACCGATTTTGCGCGGTGCTTTGTAGGTTTTGCTTGTTAACAGGAGTAAGTAGCCCTCCGTGTGCCGATGGAACTGAAAGGAGCTTACAACATATATATGCTGGGATGGCAAGTTTCGTTCCTACCTGTAATGGAAAAGCCTGGCCAAAATGCTGCCATACGAACCTATGCAATGATTGAAAACGGAATGCCTTGATTGAGGTAGCAACATCTTGTTTGTGAATAGCGTCGCCTGCCCCTCTTTTGAGCTGGATGAACCTTAAAAAAGAAGAAGCTCTGTCCTGGCAGAAGCAACTGCCAGGGCCACCTGCCAAGGTGAGGAGGTACCTACTAAGGTGACCAACCCATGGAT